CAGAACGGGGAGGCGATGCTGCTGCTGCGGGGGACTCCGGGCGCCTCTTTGGCTCTGTTAGGAAAGTTACCGCGGCCACACGACCCACCTTAAACCCGCCTCCCCGCAGGACCCGGGGGAGGGGGAAGAAGGAGGAGGAAGAGGAGGAGGAGGAGGGAGGGAGGAGACGGGGGTGGGGGCTCGGAGCCGTTCATTTCCCAGCGCAGAACCAAGTCGCAGCAGCATCTCTCGGGCTGGCGCTCCGGGATGCAGGGCTGGGCGCTCCGGTGCGGCCCCGGCTCCCGCAGGCACCGGGCTGGGGCCGCGCTCTGCTCCCCTCCCCCGGGATTCTTACCTTTACGCGCGGTACCACGGGGCCAGCTTCAGAGCGCAGAAACTTTCCCGTTTCCTGCGGTGCTGAGGCTGATTTTTGGCTTATTCGTTTGGTGATGGTTGGTTTGGCATGCCGTTATTTATTTAACCATTTGTTGTTGGGGGGAAGGGGCGTCTAGTCCTGAAGCCTTGGGGTTTGTGTATGTGTTTTGGGTTGTTTTTTTCTCCACTCGATCCAATTAAAATACCTTCAATAGACTAAAAGGACAAAGAATCAGACCGACACCCCGGCATCCCAAGGTTGCCGCCCGAACAGTGCATGTGGGAATGAGGAAGCAAACTCTATAGCTGAGCCAGAAACACTTGGCGGCTCAGCTGAGGGTAGGAGATGGGAGAAAACCAAGGCTGTCTGCCTCCTGCAGCTGAAAGAAGGGGATCTCCTGAGCAGAGACCTACCAAACTCCACGGGTTTGCTTAGCGGGAGATCATGCAAACTTCTGGACCCATTTCAAGGTGTCTCGGTTTGCAACGACACGCACGCACGCAGTTGTAGGGGCATGCAGACAGGGAAACACACAGAGCGCTGCTTAAAGCGGTCCCTGGATGGAGAGGAGCTGTCTAGAGCTGATACCAGGCAAGACCGAGGGAATGTTAATAGAGAAAAGCACGATGGAAAATGGAAAATTTACCTCTTCTCTAGCATCCTCTACCGTCCAGAGCATCTGCCCTTGTACTGTCAGATCGACTGCACCACTGCTGCTTTTTAGGGTGGCTCAGTGCCACTGGATGCGCAGAGAGGTATCAGACAGGGAACGAATTGCACCCCATGATTGTAATTTTCTTCCTGAAAGATGTAGCAGAAGTTAAAAATGTATAATGATAAAAATCATTAGACCAAAATGCTCATGACAGGTGATTTGAACAGCTGCACTAACTTAGCTCTTAAGCAGCAATCTTACACTTGCATAGTCTTTCCAAGATGAAATGCTCTATTTGTGTTATATACTAATACTTATTATTTTCTAATTAGAATAATAATGTTGGCTGAGTTCCTGCCTTTTCATCATTTCAGTATGTAAGAAACATAAGACCCTTTTTCATTATGTACCAAAATGAGCAATAGAACTTTTTTGTCATTGTAGCCACATGATGAATCCCCACATTGTACAATATTTTATGTACATATGAGGCTGCCAAAATCCTTTGTCCTGCACTGTGTGTTTCTTGGTAACATGCCAGTACATGACCGCAGGTGATGGCAGAGTTTCAAAATGGATAGTTTGGGCCAGAATTGGTACACCATTTCTGTAAGGGACTCCCTGCAATCTCCCAGCCTCCCAAAAATATTCACTCCCACCCCTGCTTTTGTGCCTCCAGGTTCCAAACTTTCCCTCTGAGTGTTGTCCTGGTTTGCAGCCTTCACAACTTATTGCACCAGCCATCTAAACCAGGAGAACAGGGCAGTGGAGAATACATGCGTGCAGGAGTGACGGCTGGCTTCCCCACCTCTTTTTTTGCAAACCCAGCTCTCTGCTCTCTTGCTAGCTCCAGAAGACTATTTTTCTTCATTAGCTATGGTTAAGGCAACCACTACTCGTGCCTGAGGTGAATTCATCCCCATCTTTCCCAACCTGTTTTTAATTATTTTTACAAACATCCTAATAATGAATATCAATAATAAATTAGCAATCATGTTTATTTATTAAATTATTTTCAATATTTAATAAAATTTAATAGATAAAATTTGAACTAGATTTATTGAATAAATAAAGATAATTAGGTTTGGTTGTTTGTATAAGAATATTAAAAACACCAGTTGCTCTATACTGATGGCAGTGTGTTGGACTCAGTTTTGTCACCAGTTTCCAGTTGGGGAACTATTTAGCCTACCTGATTTTTCTTTTTAAAAGGTCTGAGATGTATGGAGAAAAAACCAGTCTGCGTAAAATAAATTAGGCTAGCTTGTTGCTACATTTTTTTTTAACTTTTTTTTTTGTCTCTTGGAGTTCTCTTTAAAACTCTCCAAAGAAGTGTCCTGTCAAACTATGACTGCCCTGGACATTAAAAACCCCCAAGATATTACACTCTTGTATGACTGTTTACAGATGTTTGAGACAAAGCATTCAGCCATGCTCTTCTTTCTCATGTAAAATCCCATCCAGCTCAGTAATTTCATTTGGAAAGTATAGTTCTGGTATGCTCTGCAACATGGTTGTCTACTTGAAGGGTAGTAGACGTTAGCAAATGTCAATGAATCTGTCTATGGATGTGTTTTACATTTGAGGGTGACTACTATAATACTCACTGATTATTCTTGTCTATTTAAGTGCAACCCCCCTCTAAAAAGACTTTCAGTATAAACAGCATTAGATTGGATCACATTGATTCTAGCTCAGTGCTTCTGTTTTTAAAATGCACAGTTTACAAATAAAGATGTAAAAAGATGGTTTGGCTTTTTTCTTATTATTGTTGACTCAATGAGTCTAGCCTAGAGTTATAACTCTGTAAACTCAAGCTGAATCGTCAAGCTTAGCTAGATTCTTTCATAAATCAGAATGAGTTGTTGAAATTCTGAAGGACAAAATAACTCTCCGTTATGGGTTCTCAGCCTCAGTTTGGTGAAATGATATCTTTGGTTATCCCCAAGCAACCTGAACCAACATGAAAATGAGAAAAAAATTTTGAAAAAAAAAAAAAAAGCAACAGTGTATTACAAGAGTGACTCTGCAACAGAAAACTGCTTAATAATTCTGCTGATATAGTGTGAGGCAAAGAATTCATTTCCCTCTCCCAGAGCTTAGCTGGGGTGACAGGAGTTTAAAGAAGTGCAGCTCTTTCAGAAAAGTAAGCAGGTATGTCCTTCAGTACAGACAATGGAAGTCTGAAAAGACTGAAGTCACTGGGAGCTTTGCCACTGGCTTTTGGAGGAGGCAGAATTTTACCCTGGGAGAAGATCTGCTGATTAATAAATGGACACTTGTACATCCTTTCCCTTCAGAGTCAGATCACCTTTCAAGAGCGTTTTTACTGGTTTTATTTGCTTGCTTCTACACATCCAATTCAAAAATAGTTCCTATCTACTTTTTCATTTTCTATACATTCTTACTTCTTAAAGGGGAAATTGGGCCTCAGAAAATAACAGCATACTAATCATGTTATTGTTTGTAAAAGCATCAGTTTTCAACACTCTAAAATTATTACACATTTAATATTAAAGCTTAAGAAATTAAATATGCATAATTTGTGTCTGAACAAACAAATTATTATAGAAAATAATGCTTGAAAAAGAAAAACAAAGCTTTTCAGACATAACATGAATTTTAACTTGTTTTTTATAAAACCAATCAGGGCTTTAGTTTATGCATCATTCTGTTCCCTGCAATAATATGCTGTCTGTGCAATCAGTGATGATAAATGGTACATAATTGTAAACTTGATATTGGTTTTCAATATTGAATTCATCATTCTGTCCTCTTAACACATATTAAATACTTTAAAGAATTTATGTATTTGTTTGATTTATCTGTGATTTTTTTTTCCAATATGTAAAATTTATTAGTTTTCTAGTTTTTGAGAAACTAGGAGTAGACAACATCATTAATAATACTGAATAATAGCGTTGGCCTCATTTATGCATGACTCCCTTCTACCAACACAGCGTCCAAATCAAATACAAACATATTAGTTGTAGGCAGTGTAGAAAATACAGTCTTAACTAGAGCCAGTTCTGCATATGTTTTGTTTGACTTCCCTGATCTATCCAAATAATGACTGCAAGAATCTACTCTCATTTAGAAAGGCAGCTTCTGCATTCATAGGACTTGCATTTCACTTTATTTTATGTCAGAATTGTTGACAAAACTACTGAGCTTGGAGAAGTACAATACCTCAATCCAAAGAGCAAAAAAGCTTAGATATGCTTCAGAGTTTGGGCCACTCCAGAGACAACATTAATTTACCTTTTTCCATATTATGAACCTATTTTCCCAAAGGTTCACTGAAATTGTCCTAGTACTCTTAATGAACAGGTAATGAAAAAAAAAAATAATCAGAAAACATTAATCCTGCATGACACTAACAAAAGTATACAGAAGCTAATGTTCATTTAATGCAAATAGACAATCAGCATATAGGGCCCGATTCAATCATGTCAATTGTTTTTTTCATTAACACAGCTTTTAAATCTGTTCCCCATACACAATCTAAAGGGCACTCAAAATGACCTAAGCACTGGCCAGTGACTAGGGATTTTGTGTAAATCTTCTCCTATATGAGCTCAAATTCTGCTCTTAATCATGTGTGTATGACCATCATTCTTAGTATTATAACTGCTACTTTTCTTAATCAAGACATCTGCACTGGACCGAGGCATAAAATTATTTTTTGTTTAATATGATATAAATTTAAAAATAAAAAAAAAGATTGGGTAAAGCTGAAGAAAATAATTATGCAGTGTTGCAAATGGAAGAAATAGCATTAATTCAACTAAACTGTAGCAAATTACTTTAGGGAGAAATCTGATCTCCTAACAAAAATAGCAAAACAAAGTCAGTTGTACACAGCTATTTCTCCTTTTATTATAAAGGAAACTGGATAAAAGACCAGTCTTTCACAAAATTTACGAGTGGAATTCCCTGCTGCAGGATAGCTGTGACAGCTTTGTTGTATAAAAAGATCAACTACTTTGATGAATCAGAATAGCCTAAGCAGTTAAAATAGCTTGGGTATATTACAGTCTCCAAGCTTCATAGCATAAATGGTTTGCAATCTGGAGCACTGAAAAGCAGTTTCAGCCTGTAATTCTATATGAAACATATCAGAATCCCCAAGTACATGCTGGAGACAAGAATGACATTCTGCCTTTATCTGAAGCACATGATACTGGTAAGTATTGGAGAATGGTATCAAAATAGACTGACAATCACTCTGCAACACCTAAATTCTTATTAAAGTTAATGAGAGTTATGCATATGAATTGAGAAGTGAAGAGGCCCCTCACAATGAAAAAGAAATATGAAAAGCAGCATATATAATGCATAATTAATAGCAATGTCATATAGGTCAACAGCAACTGTTGTCTTTGTAGTGAAAACTCCTATGTGGGTAGCCTCAAAGACTACATTTTTTTCTATCAAGAAAACACATACTGCAACTGATGCAAGAAACCAATTGCTTCCAATCACACCTTCACCTTCTGGTTTTGAGAGTTAAAAAACAATTTATCTGTCAGGCTCCTGCACGTCTCCAGGGCATTCCTCTTGGTACTGGCTGAGGCAGAATCAAGGGGATGGGAGGGATTTAACCAATTCCCAACTTTACACCACCGAACAGGCATCTACAGGTTGAACATTATCAGCTGTATTTGTAATTGAGTTAAAAGCTGCATAGACTACTACCAATCTCTTGAGTTTGTCCATTTGTTCAGAGAGCCATTATTTAAAGACTCTACATTTCCTTAAACTGAGGTTGGACCAAATTGGAAACCTGCTGGCACTGACATAAAGCAGCAATACTGCAAAAGGTCTTATGTGAAGAAATGTAGCGGTATTAAGCACTAGAATTTCTTCTTCACTGAAACCCCAAGGCTGGAACAGCCATGAGCAAGAACAGATCAAAAAAGGGTCACAGAATCAGCAACTAAAAAAGAATGCTGGTTCACTTCATCTGCCTACACCATGTGGTTAGGTCCCCCAAAGTTCTGCTCCTTCATACAGAAACCCAAGAGACTGCTCTTCCTTAGGAAATTCCCCTCTGGAGACAGCTGACCAGAATTCCAAGTGATAGCAAGCCAGATAATAAAGTTTAAATGATGAATGAGACAGAAATTCATGGCATTCTGAAACAGGTCCATATGATATCTTCATTTATACCTTATTTACAAGTACTTCTAAATATTCGGGGGCAAATTTATCATCAAGCTTAGCTGGTTTTCTTCAAACAGCTGTCTCCAGATACACATAATATTAAGGACAAAACTTAAATCCATATGAAATGTATTGTTACAGCAATTGGCATTATTTGGACACACTGTGGAACATACATTGCTCTGCTATGTTTCTATCAAAAGAAATTTTTAGTTCACTGGTCTTGTATTTGGTGAGGAATGGGTTTTATTACTGAAAGAAGAGATAAGCTGAAAGACTCTGTGAATTTATCTTTCTGATAGATTTCTGCATGATTTTTTACCCTGAAGTTTTAGGAACTAGTTGAATGTGAATACTGAATATAAACATTCTCTTAACTGTACCCCTTTTCTATGGCCATATTTATCTTTAGCCATCATAATTTATTTGCATAAAGGTAGCACCCACAGTTCGTAATCAAAAACAGGACTTCATTTGATTCCCATATATACACAGCAATATACAATCTGAAAAAAAAAAAAAAAAAGCAAGGGCAAAGTAGAAGAAAAGCAACTGCCTACAGTGGCAATAACAAAGCAGGGAATAAAACCTCGGAGTCCTGATTCCTAGTCCAACTCTGTCATTTGGACCTGTGTATCTCAGTGCCGTGGTCTACCATCTTCATCTTCAATGGGCTCAGCATGGGACTTCAGGAAGAAAGATTATTTGAATTTTTCTCTGCTTTGGGATTTTTTGTTACTGATTGTATTCATCATTGCAGGGATGAGCAGCCTACAAAGCCAGTCCATTCTGCAAAAGACCTTATCCTGTTACAGTGAGATCTAAAGATACACCTTTAGATTGATTGCAATGACTATTGGACTGGACCACAGATTATTTTATGCCTCACTTCCCTACCTGCACAAATGGAAATAGCATTTCACATGCTGATTAATATTAAGTTCTACACAGACTCTAGGTCTGCACTGCATATGCCACAGATAAAATTATAATGAATATTTTCAAATTTAGGAATTTCAAGAAATTATATTCACTGACATTTTAATTGTAAAAAGAAAACAAACAAATCCTAACAGAAATTCCCACAAGTTTTATCTCAGTTTTTAAAAAAAAATATAAGAAAACATGGCTGAAAATATTTCTTTTCATTTTCATCCAGCTCAATAGGCATTCATAGAATTTAAAAAGTCAGGATCTGCCAGAAGTTCATTTGCAAAATGACAGCATGCTGCAATGCATTTATTTCTCTGTTTTGCCACTTTACGAGGAAAAAAAATATATTTCTAAGATATTTTTGGTAACATATGACTAAATAGCAAAATTAAAACTAGGAAATTAATAACTACATGGCATTTCAATCCCATCAACTCTAATCAACATAAATCCATTCTAATTAAAACCTGCAAATCCTAAGGATACCAAACAGATAGCCCTCTGTTATAGGGAGATGGCAACAACAAGCACATCACATACAAATGGAGAGTATGGAAATCTCTGAAAGAGGCAAAGATGAAGTAATATGAAAAGTATTCCTATATTTTTTTAACATCATTAGCCCCCAGTAATCTCTAATTGGTGAAACAAACATAAATTTTGTCCTTTAAAACTTAAAAAGCACTTTTGCAAGCTAAATGAAGGATCTGAAGGAAGTGTACAACTTCACAGGCTGAAAAAGGTTACTAAGTTTATCACAATCATCAAACCAGAAATAGTACAGTGATGCAAAGCATGTTCTGATCAGCATGATGAATAACACACATCAGTTTAAATGAGAATAATAGAAATTATGTAATTGCACCAGAGCCTTTGTTTCAAAGTCAAAACATCTTAAGTCTTGACTCTGTCTTTAGGACTTGATCAAAAGCCCATGAACATTAACAAGAATCTTTGTGCTGACTCCCTCAGGCCTCACCTATGTCCTTCAAACAGAAGTGGAAAGGTACTGTCCACTGACTTCATGTCATCTTAAATCAATTCAGGAAGCTCCTCTCCTGTATTTCATTCAATCATGCACTTACAACTGGAATCAGCTTTACATACATAATAATGGACATCAAATATACCTGGTTCTGGTAAACTTTTCATGTTATACTGTGATGGATAGTTCCCCTCTCCCACTGCTGCACTGTCAGGTAAAGAAAGGGATCTGAACTGAGCTTGGATGTATTTTATTTGTACACATCCACAGCAGCTAATACTGATACTTTGGGGTTTAAGGGGAGAACCCATCTTCACCCGTCTCTAAATTAGCTCTTTAAAAAAAGGCCTCTTTTGTCCATTGGCGGTTTTTATCCACAACCAGCAGAGATTAAACAAATGCATTTGCTTGGCAGGCAGTGGTTGTCACCCTGCCAATTAGCTCAACAGGAAGCAAACAACCTGCTGACCTTCCTGGGCAAGCAGTCTCTCTGAGGCAAGCAAATGAGATTGTAGTAAGGGCTGTAGCTCAGATAGTTGTTATTATCATATATCATCATAAACTTATTCTACCATTGCCCTAGAGTTATGACAACAGTACAGAGCCACAGAAGTATAAAGCTGGAGGGAACCAAATCCAACATTATGTCTAGTGGTTTCCAAACTGTAATTTATGAAATCATAGCAAGTGTTGTCTTTATTGTGCTTTACAGTGACTACTGACACTAAGCGGGGTCTGGTGGTCTGTAGAGAAGTCCTCAGAACTAACAATGGTTTGCTAGACTAGAAAGCCTGGGAATCACATGTTTGATTACTATGGCGAGGAGGAAGTTACACCTAGACTACTCCTAACAGATATTTATTTAAATTGTTCTTACAAATTTCCAATGAATGATAATTCCACAATCTCTTTATGCAAACCATGCCAGAATTTTATTACAATGATGTTGTTCAAGAATATTTAATGCTAGTTGTAGTTTCCTTTTCAAAACCACAAATTCTGGTTGGTTTGTTTGGGGTTTTTTTCCTTTTAATGAAGAAGAAAATTGGAATGTCACGTATATAAATGCTTGAACAACATTATATTTAAAAAAGCAAGATATTAAAATCAATCATTCTTCTTCAACCTAGCTTATTGTGATGTCCACTGGTACTAGTTTGGTAAAATAACTACTCTGATTATGTTTTCAGTGTGAAGCAAGCATTATAGTTAGCCTTTGCTTTAATATGGGATGTTCTGAAAGCACTATCTGGAACAGCAAGAGAACTCTGGTGAATAACGAGGGAGGCAGCTTTAGTAAGGTTCCTCAGCTATACGCACACAAACTCTTCAGGTGGAACTTACATCTAAATCTCCCCTGCATGTCATACCACTGGATCAAATAAACAGGAGAAACTGAAAAGTAGACTGAGGTAAAAATGTGTTTGGACACAGGAAGATGATTTAATAGATAAAAAGCTACAGTCCTTCTTAGATAGGATTTTTCCACTTTGTATTCCTATTGTCTGAAATCAGGCCTGAATAGAAGAAGTTAACTTGATAAAATATAGGCCAAAAAAACCCGATGTAAGAAAATAATGGAAATGCTATTATGGACTTTTGTGAGTATAAATAGTTTCGGAAATGAAACTGTCAAGCCCAACATCTGAAATGCTGTAGAAATAAAGTCATTTTAATGGTCAGCCTGCTGCAACCACATAAACATTCTCTAGTTCTTTTCACAGCCTAGCATCTTGAATTTTTTTTTTTTTTTTAATCTGACATATGGGGAGACATTGTTGGAGACTCAAGGGGACAGAATCTAACAGAGAAGCAGAAATGGATCAAGGGAAGATAAGGAACAGAAATCATCAACAGGAGATATTAAATTCCAAAAATGAAACTGAAGGGACAGGACATACCAGAAGAAAAAAAAAAAAAAAAAAAAAAAAAAAAAGGAGGGGTGGTGAGATAAGCTAGAAGATAACATGCTGAACTCAATTTTAAGTAAAAATATTAGATTGAAATAATCCAAAATTGTACCTCCATCTTATATGCTTCTAAAGGTATAGGCTGTCATATCTGAAAGAGTATTCATGTCACCTGACTAAACGGAGAGCTGTTCTGCCACAGAATTGGGTCTACTCTTTTGCTCTCAGTTTGCATCAGCAGAAAAACTTTCTCTTACCTGCAACTGCACCCACTAGTCTAACATGTGGGACACCTCCTCACACCAGAGCTTTGTGCTTCCTCAGTAGCACACACTACATACTGGAATGTGGAATCAGGACGAGACAAAGAGCACAAAAAATATCTAAAATAAGCATCAATATGAAAAACATTAAAAAATCAGGCAGTCTTTTACTAGATTAGATGAGCATTTTGGCATTTGATGGACATTCTCATGTCCCTCATGTCCCCAGAATGTTCCACATCGTATCAGCTACCACGTAAAATAGCTCCATTTCTAGAGCTAAACACAACGTTTTCTGAAGACGATGTGTTGAAATGCTGTCTTATTACTGTGCTACATTTATAATATCTTAGGAAACCTATAGCAGGCTCTTTACACCAGGAGAGCACAAGCTCAGATGATTCTGTCTGGACCATGCAAAGCAGCAGCCACTTTCTATGACCCGTAAAGGGAGGACATGCAATGTATTTACATTGTCAGGTCTGGACTGAACTCTGAGGGGGAAGATCACTACAGTGGGCAGTGCTGTCCCTGAAAGAGTGCTTGTCACCCACTTCTAAGCACAAGTCTTTCCTTGTTCTCTAGGAAGAAGCTAGGTCAGCCTACTGCCTTAACTTCAGCTATCTACCTGAAGTGTGGAAGTGATGTATCTTACAATGTCCACGGTGGACTAGACCATGGGGACAGCCAGAGGTGACAGACTGACTGATTGTGCACATCACACTGAGTTCCCCAGAGAAATCCTGGATCCTGGTCCAGACTATTTAACTACGAATACAAGGTTTAATTTCTTCCCCTGACAATATTTTTTGTATCTTGTTTTTTTGTTTGTTTTTACTTTTTTATTAGCCCATTAGACTAGTTCCTCATTATAATGGCAACTCACCTCTTTCAGAAATTTATAAACATTATGCTACCTGCCTAATATCTTCATAAACCAGAATGAAATCTACTGTTTCAGTCAAGGGTGACAAACCGAGAGAATGGATCTTCGGCTCAAATCCTGGCTGAGCCACTCAGTTGGCATGTGACCCCAGACAAATAATTTGATCTTCTTTGCTTTAGTTCAAGCAGTTATAAATTTGGCTAAGAAGCATGACCTTTCTGAAAAGCACTAGCCTTTGATCTCTGCTTGCATGAGTAAATGCATCTCCAAAACCTCAGGCTGAATGATGCAGCAAATTCTTTTTCACTTATCTACCCCTAGAAACCATGCAGTTGCTCACATACCTTTAACTCTCCAACATAATAGGGAATTACAACACATAAATGTTGCACTATTTAACTACAGTACAAAGCTTACAGCCCATATTGTAACACTTCTTCATTCAGAAATTACAGTAAGCAGAGTACTACTATAGGCTCACATGTGAAGGCTATTGCAACTTGCTTTATTAAAAAAAAAAAAAAGCAACTATTTATATTGTTCTTTACCATAGGGCTTCAGATCATTTTTCTTTCTACGTTTATATCTCTCTGTAATGAAAATAATTCCAATTGCCATCCAGGAGAACAAAACCCAGAAAACATCTTTTCTCGATTTCATTTTAAGTCCATCCCTCCAGAAAGTTCTAGGAGGTATCTTAAGGTATAATAGAGTAGCTAGGACTGTTTAGTCTTGAGGAGAGAAAGCTCAAGGGGAATTATATCAGTGTGTGTATCCATCAGAGGGAATAAAGATGACAGACCCAGACTCTTCTCAGTGGTGCACAGTGACAGAATGAAAAGCAGTGAAACTGAAAACCAGGAAATCCTGCTTAAAACTAAGAAAAAACCCGTTTTATTGTGATGGTGGTCAGGCATGAAGAGGTTTCTAAGAGAGATTGTGGAGTCTCCACCCTTGGAAATATTCAAAACCCAAGCGGACATGGTCCTAGTCAATCTGCTCCATGAGGAGGGTCTAGAGACTTCCTGAGGTCCCTCCTGCCCTCCACTCTGCCATAGTCCAACACATGGAGGGGCAGGCGATGAGGCGAAGACAACACTGGTGTGCATTAAGCTGCAGAATCTGGCACCTTAGCCATAGTTACTACCCCATCCCATTGCTAACCATGATTCAAATGTGGTCAGAGGAGATGTCATACCATTTTGTGATGTGTTAACAAGTAACACTTTGGCAGTTGTGTCAAATGCTTGGGACTTAGAGGACAGTTACTGAACATCTTACTTTTACTTGAATTAGACCTTGTGGATGAAAGCAGTGGAGAAAAGAGTACCTTAAATACATATCCTGCTCCCAGGAAAGCAAGCAAATGAAAAAGGTGCAATTCAGCCTCAGGAGCTCAGTGTAAGTAGAAAATAAACAGCAGTGACTGTTTTTTGTTCTCACAGTTGATAATCCAGATTCTTCCCATCACTATGTATTTTTACTACATAGGTGGTTACAGAGGGGTAACTTGAGGCCCTGAGGCTATTTATTATGAGTAAGGCCATTGGAAGTAATGTCTCAGCTTTCAGCAAGAGATGTGACCTGAGTTTCTTCAACTCCACCACATTTAAACTCTGTAGTTAGCATCACAACAAAAAAAGTTTTTAGGATTTGAAAAAGAAGCAGCCACATGGTGAACACACTCTCACCTAGCATCACTCTAACAGAATCATTTTAGCAATATCAAGAACAAGTTTTGCATAATAACTGCAATATGAAGTCATAACAAAACATTTATGATGAAAGCCTTAAGGACAATGACAAAGGCACCCATTAATAAGACATTCAGCAGCAGAGTATACCCAGCAGAGTTGGGCAAATACTGCAATCCATTTCCCTTGGATATTCATTTGAATTTTTAAATGGATTTCTTTTGACTGTTCGCATCCCTTTTGTGCTCACTTTCCATGAATAGCAAATGAGCTTTAATAAGGGGAATAATAATGAAAAACACATTTTAAGCTTGAGCATTTGCCAAATGAAAACCTCAAATTGCACAATCAATGGTTACCAGTACATATGTCATTTTATGACTTTTATACTAAATTGAAAAAATTCAGTGTTGGTCAGTTTTCCCACACTTACAGGATGGAAACACAAATAATACCCTTACATACAGAGCTGGGCAGCATAGGTTAAAGTACTACTGTATACAATTAGGCATACCAAATTATTTGCTGGCTAAAACTTAGTTCTTGACCGTAGTTATGACAAAATAATGTATTTTGAAATTTTGCATTTTTTACTTGTAAGCAATTTTTTTTTCAAAAGAGTAAACTGTTATTTACCCAGCCCTGCTAGGCAATATGATTTGCCAGATGATTTGCCAGAGGACAGAGCAGTTATGGGTATAAAATCTTTACTCATAGCCTCTTAGTGAGAAAAATAGAAAGCACCTAAGATGCACAGCTGCAGACCAGAAATACAGTATAATATATTTTCCTTTAGTTTCAATATACATCTCTGAGCTCTCAAGGAAAACCTCTTGTATCTCATCTGTAGAGCAAATCATAACAGCAGAGTTCTCCACAGGTCAACCCCATTTAATTTCTTATGATAGGAGCGTAGAGGAAATTAATCAGTTTCACCCAGAAACTTCTCCTTGTGATTTTGAAGGCAGAGGTAAAAAAAGTCACTCTTCCAATTCTGTTTTCTATTTACTGTGGCATATAAATAAATAACCTTAGAGCATTATATTGTGCAGCACTGACCCCAGATTTCAGCTAGATACACTATAGGGAACAATCCCAATTTGGTAGTGGGTGGAAAATGTGACCTGTTTGGTCTTTTCATCTCTCATGGTGATTATCCTTTGAACTATACAGGAGGAACAGCTCCAGAGGCTGAGGCACCACAGCATCATTTCAGTGTAAAGGCTCCAACCAAATCAAACGCATTTGGATGACAAAAAGAATGATATGGTGAATTCCTCCTTTGATCTGTCTAAAATGTTATCATAATTTCTAGTGTAACTAATATAAACATGTATTATGAAAGCAGAAAGAATGGAATCCACAAATTATTATTATCTATAAATAACCTAAAGCTACTTAATCAGCTAAATCTTAACTTTCTAATGATGTTAATATAAACGCTCTTTTCCTTTAAATAATATTTGAGATCGCTCATCAATAAATATAGTAAAAACCCTGGAATAAATAAAGGTACAGAAAATAAGTGAAACAAAATAGTATATGACTTTGCAATTCAGTGATGTAGTAAACTTTTGAACTGCATCCAAGGAGGAAAAGTATGGTGGGAAGAAAATCAAATACATACTATAGTAAAAATCAGGCATTGTGATAAATAAATTGCTTTTATGCTTTCAATAATTGTAAACATCATGTAGTTTCACATTCCTGACATGCTTGAAGAGATCTGCAAGCCTTTTTTTGTGTGTGTGTTACAGAACAGCATCAGTTTCTAGTTCATTTTGAGAATAAATTTGTCTCGTTATGTTATAAGCAACTCAGAGCAGTTTGTTCACAGAAGCTGAAAGGTTGAATTTTAGCCTATTAGACACGGTAACGGAAGCAAAAGTTACCATTTCAAGTTAAAATCAATTAAATAGTGTCTCCCAGTGGTGATAAACGGTATTGCAAACTTAAAAGTAGATAGTTTATGATTGACTGAAACCCAGGCAGAATAATCGAAAGTCTAACAATGACCGAATACAAAATCATTTTCTTTTCACTAAAATTAAAAGGACATTGGCGTGTCTTTTTAAAGGATATGGTTTTAAAACAGTTTTAAAGCATAAATGGGGTGATCGAGGTAATTATATGCCTGTCAGTCAAAGTGCAATACCAAGCAAAATAACAAAGTTTAATTACTATGGGATTCGACAAAAATAATTAAAGAAGGGTGATATAATTAATGCCAGCTCACACAGGATTACAGAAAATAGACCTTGTTAAAATAACTTGATATCTTTCTTTGTCAAGACTATAGTTTTGTTGAGTAAAACCAATATTGCCACTATAATCAGAATCCTGCTAGGAACATAAAGCTTTCTGAAAACTAGCTGTTTGTCAGCATATATACAGCGTTTTTGAAAGCTGCAAATCAGCATGGCATGTATTAAATTGACTAAGGAATATTTAATTAGTAAG